ATTAAACAACCATGGTGACATTACACATCCCTGTCTAAGACCCACCTTTACCGGGAAGTAGTCTCCCTCTCTTCTACACATCCTAACCTGAGCCTCACTATCTTCATAAAAACTCTTTACAGCATTTATTAACTTACTACCTATTCCACATACTTGCAACATCTGCCACATTGCTCCCCTATCCACTCTATCATATGCCTTTTCTAAAGCCATAAATGCAATGAAAACTTTCCTTTTATCTAAATACTGTTCACATATATGCTTCAATGTAAACACTTGATCTACACATCCCCTACCCACTCTAAAACCTTGATCATCCGCAATCCTACATTCTGTCTTGCCTCTAATTCTTTCAATAATAACACTACCATACTCTTTTCCTGGTATACTCAGTAAACTTACGTAATATATTATTTAATATAATATAAAGAGATGTGGGATTAAATGATAAGAATCTAACACAATGTGGGAGTTGTCACAGTGCTCTTTGCTGATGACACTGTGCTTTTGGAAGATTCTGAAGAGAAGTTGAAGAGTTTGGTGGATGAGTTTGGTAGGATATGTAAAAAAAGAAAATTAAAAGTGAATATAGGAAAGAGTAAGGTGATGAGGATAACAAAAAAATTAGGTAACGAAAGACTGGATATCAGATTGGAGGGAGAGTATGGAGGAGATGAATGCATTCAGATATTTAGGAGTGGATGTGTTAGCAGATGGGTCTATGAAAGATGAGGTGAATCATAAAATTGACAAGGGATAAAAGGCGAGTGGTGCACTGAGAAGTCTGTGGAGACAGAGAACTTTGTCCATGGAAGTGAAGAGGGAAATGCATGAGAGTATAGTTATACCAATGCTCTTATATGGGTGCAAAGCATGGGTGGTGAATGTTGCAACAAGGAGAAGGCTGGAGGCAGTGGAGATGTCGTGTCTGAGGGCAATGTGTGGTGTGAATATAATGTAGAGAATTCGTAGTTTGGAAAATAGGAGGAGGTGCGGGATTACCAAAATTATTATCCAGAGGGCTGAGGAGGGCTTGTTGAAGTGGTTCAGACATGTAGAGAGGGTGGAACACAATAGAATGACTGCAACTGTGTATAAATCTGTAGTGGAGGGAAGGCGGGGTAGAGGTTGGCCTAGGAAAGGTTGGAAGAAGGGGGTAAAGGAGGTTTTGTGTGTGAAGGGCTAGGACTCCCAGCAAGCATGTGTGAGCATGTTAGACAGGAGTGAAGAGACAAATAGGTTTTAGGACTTGACGTGCTGTTGGTGTGTGAGCAGGGTAATATTTATGAAGGGATTCAGGGAACCGGCAGGCCGGACTTGAGTCCTGGAGATGGGGAAGTACATTGCTTGTACTCTGAAGGAGAGGTGTTAATGTTGCAGTTTTACAAGTGTAGTGTAAGCTTGCCTCTGGCAAGACAGTGACGGAGGGAATGAAGGTGAAAGTTTTTCTTTTTCGGGCCACCCCACCTTGGGGGGGGAAACGGCCGATGTGTTAATTTTTTTTATTATTATTATTATCACACTGGCCGATTCCCACCAAGGCAGGGTGGCCCGAAAAAGAAAAACTTTCACCATCATTCACTCCATCACTGTCTTGCCAGAAGGGTGCTTTACACTACAGTTTTTAAACTGCAACATTAACACCCCTCCTTCAGAGTGCAGGCACTGTACTTCCCATCTCCAGGACTCAAGTCCGGCCTGCCGGTTTCCCTGAACCCCTTCATAAATGTTACTTTGCTCACACTCCAACAGCCCGTCAAGTATTAAAAACCATTTGTCTCCATTCACTCCTATCAAACACGCTCACGCATGCCTGCTGGAAGTCCAAGCCCTCGCACACAAAACCTCCTTACCCCCTCCCTCCAACTTTTCCTAAAGGGGCCCCTACCCCGCCTTCCTTCCACTACAGACTGATACACTCTTGAAGTTTTTCTGTTTCGCTCCATTCTCTCCACATGTCCGAACCCCTCAACAACCCCTTCCTCACCCCTTGGACAACAGTTTTGGTAATCCCGCCCCTCCTCCTAACTTCCAAACTACGAATTCTCTGCATTATATTCACACCACACATTGCTCTCAGACACGACATCTCCACTGCCTCCAGCCTTCTCCTCGCTGCAACATTCATCCCCCATGCTTCACACCCATATAAGAGCTTTGGGTTTAAAATTTATACTCTCATACATTCCCTCTTTGCCTCCAAGGACAAGTTCTTTGTCTCCACAGACTCCTAAGTGCACCACTCACCCTTTTCCCCTCATCAATTCTATGATTCACCATCTTCATGCCCCACCCGCTGACACGTCCACTCACAAATATCTGAATACATTCACCTCCTCCATACTCTCTCCCCCCAATCTGATATTCATTCTTTCATCACCTATCTTTTTTGTTTTTCCTCATAACCTTACTCTTTCCTGTATTCACTTTCAATTTTCTTCTTTTGCACCCCCTACCAAATCATCCACCAATCTCTGAAAACTTCTCTTCAGAATCTCCCAAGAGCACAGTGTCATCAGCAAAGAGCAACTGTGACAACTCACACTTTATGTGTGATTCTTTATTTTTTAACTCCACGCCTCTTGCCAAGACCCTCGCATTTACTTCTCTTACAACCCCATCTATAAATATATTAAACAACCACGGTGACATCACACATCCTTGTCTAAGGCCTACTTTTACTGGGAAATAATTTCCCTCTTTCCTACATACTCTAAATTGAGGGCCCCACTATCCCCGTAAAAACTCTTCACGCTTTCAGTAACCTACCCCCTACACCATACACCTGCAACATCTGCCACATTGCCCCCTATCCACCCTGTCATATGCCTTTTCCAAATCCATAAATGCCAAAAGACCTCTTTAGCCTTATCTAAATACTGTTCACTTTATGTTTCACTGTAAAACCTGGTCCACACACCCCCTACCTTTCCTAAAACCCCCTTGTTATCTGCTATCCTATTTTCCGTCTTACTCTTAATTCTTTTAATAATAACTCTACATACACTTTTCCCGGAATACTCAACAGACTTATCCCCTATAATTTTTGCACTCTCTTTTATCCCTTTGCCTTTATACAAAGGAACTATGCATGCTCTCTGCCAATCCTAGGTACCTTACCCTCTTCCCTACATTTATTAAATAATTGCACCAACCACTCCAAAACTATATCCCCACCTGCTTTTAACATTTCTATCTTTATCCCATCAAAACCCGGCTGCCTTACCCCCTTTCATTTTACCTACTGCCCCACGAACTTCCCCCACACTCACAACTGGCTCTTCCTCACTCCTACAAGATGTTGTTCCTCCTTGCCCTATACCCCGAAATCACAGCTTCCCTATCTTCATCAACATTTTAAAAATTCCTCAAATTTCCCTCCATCTTCCCAATACCTCTAACTCTCCATTTAATAACTTCCTCTCCTATTTTTAACTGACAAATCCATTTTTTCTCTAGGCTTTCTTAACTTGTTAATCTCACTCCAAAACTTTTTTTATTTTCAACAAAATTTGTTGATAACATCTCACCCACTTCTCATTCTTCTTTTTACATTGCTTCACCACTCTCTTTTTCTCCATATACTCTTCCCTCCCTTTCATCACTTCTACTTTGTAAAAAACTTCTCATATCTAACTTTTTCCCTTATACCTCTTTTACATCATCATTCCCCCAATCGCTCCTCTTCCCTCCCGCACCCACTTTCCTGTAAACCACAAACTTCTGCTGAACACTCTAACACTACATTTTTAAACCTACCCCATACCTCTTCGACCCATTGCCTATGCTCTCATTAGCCCATCTATAAAAATATATATAATAATATATATAATATACTAAAATATTAGGGATATACCGGAGGTTTTTTTTTTAACACATCAGCCATCTCCCACTGCGGCAGGGTGACCCAAAAAAAGAAACACTCGGGGTCATTCAACACTTTCACCATCACTCATACATAATCACCATCTTTGCAGAGGTGCCCAGATATGACAATATCCCAAACCCCTCATTTAAAGTGCAGGCATTGTACTTCCCGCCTACAGGACTCAAGTCCGGCTATCCGGTTTCCCTGAATCCCTTCACAAAATATTACCCTGCCCACACTTCAACAGCTCATCAGGTCCCAAAAACCATTCATCTCCATTCACTCCTATCTAACATGCTCACAAATGCCTGCTCCATACCCAGGCCCCTTGCACACAAACCTCTTTTACACCCCTCCCTACATCCTTTCCTAGGATGACCTCTACCAGTCCTCCTCTCCACTACAGATTATACACACTCCAAGTTATTCCATTTTGTTCCATCCTTTCTAAATGACCAAACCACCTCAATAACCCTTCTTCAGCCCACTGAATAATACTTTTAGTAACTCCACACCTCCTCCTAATTTTCACACAACAAATTCTCTGTCTTTAGACAGAGGCAGTGCCAGGATTTCTGTACTGGTGGCTCAGGGGTGGCTATTTGGTTTGAAGAGGAGTTAAAAGATTATTACAGAAAGGAAATGTTGTTTTAGTGCCTGGAATATGTACAGTGTTTATTCTGGACTCTGTTTTCAAACTAGAATTTTTTAATTTGAATAAAAGTGGCCAAATTATGGAATTGTGTGTACTCTACAGTTGAATGGGTGGTTTCTTGTATTCAATCCATAAAAAAAAAGGCATACAAGCAAAATAGCTAAGAATTTGGTCAAATTGTGCAATAAAATTAACTTAAAATAGGACTCAAGTTTGGCAAAATTGCCAATGCATAAAATACACCCAGATCATTAAGTCTGCGCTTGCATAAATCCAAAAATTTTCATCAAATTTTGTATTTTAAAGTCCATTACTTTCAGGAAAAGATTCTCTACCATTTCGGAAGAATTTTTATTTTTTAATGTGGATACTGAGCACTTTTAATTTTGGGAGCCTGAACAGTGAAAGGGTTAAGAGGAGCCTTTACATTATATTTAACAACATAACAGTGAACAAAACCAAAAAATAATAACTCACCTCTCAACAACATTCAGACAGGATACACCATCTTGTCCTCCCACAGCATACAGGTAACCATCTAACACTGCCACGCAACACTGGTGCGGCAAGTGCTTGTTGGTGCTACCTCACATAACCACTGATTAGTCTGTGGGTCATACCTGTTTTAAAAGAAAATATAATAAAAGTTTCTCTGCATTCAAATGCAGACATTTCACCTAGTTCATAAATTTATATTTTGGATATAAATGATTAGTTTCTTATCTTTGCTTTCTTGTACCTAAAGCTTCATTAAAAGTACATACTGTAAAAAAAAAGAATCATTGCTAAGATTCTTAAAACTGCAGTATCATCTCTCGATCCTTTGAAGTGTCCAACAGATATGCTCAAAACCCAGAAAAGAAGCATTACTAGAAAATGATAAATGAACTAAATTCATGCCAAATTATTTAAAAAATCACTAATTTTTTAGACAAAGCAATTACCAGATTAATTAGGGAATTTATTACAATTGCTTCCCCATTTTTAAGTAAAAAAATTTAAGATTCAAAAAAAGCAGTTTGAGTCTCTGTGTTAGTGATGGTATGAAAAAACTATATTTGACTAGTAAAGATGCCAGTATGACAGGTAAAGAACACTATAGCACTATTTGAAATATCACGGAAGCCCATGTGTTACAAGGGTAGTTCACATTATATTTAATAGTACAAGAGGAAAATAAGAGAGAACATTAAGGTAGGACACACCTCATTGTCTTCCTACAACACAGAGGTGACCCTCTAACACTGCCAAAAGGTTTCTCTTGTGCTTTCTGTCATATATATATAATATACTCTAGTCATTTATCATTTTTGTGTGAAACCTAAGGATCTGATAATCAAGCATTATTATATATGGAATATGGGAAAGTAATAAGTAATTTTGCAAAAAAGGGTTTACCTTATAAATTGTTTTAATACATAATACATATACAGTGTAACCTCAGTTTTCACATTTAATTCGTTCCAGAGAGTCTAACAAAAACCAAATTCGCTGAAAACTAAAGCAATATTTCCCATAAGAAATAATACAAATTTAATTAATCCATTCCAGACACCAAAAATATTAACAAAAAATACATTTATAGAAAATAACTATAGTGTTGCAGCTCTTCAGTGGTTAGCTCTTCCCTGTGGTCGTCCACGAACTCTTCCACATCCTGGTACTCACATCCTACCCCATAGACTTCCCCAAAGCCACAATAGATTTCACAACAGGTGTAGGGTTGTCAAGTTTACACTAACTTACATTAAGTTAGTGTTAGAATTTTTATTATTATTAACACATCAGCTGATTCCCACCGAGGCAGGGTGGCCCAAAAAAGAAAAACTTTCATCATTCACTTCATCACGGTCTTGCCAGAGGGGTTTTTTTACACTACAGTTATAAAACTGCAACATTAACACCCCTCCTTCATAGTGCAGACACTGTACTTACCATCTCCAGGACTCGAGTCTGGCCTGCCAATTTCCCTGAATCCCTTCATAAATGTTACTTTGTTCACACTCCAACAGCACGTTAAGTATTAAAAGCCATTTGTATCCATTCACTCCTATCAAAAAGGCTCACGCATGCTTGCTGGAAGTCCAAACCCCTCGCACACAAAACCTTCTTATGTAGCTTGCCGGGTCACCATCTGGAGAAGACCTGGGCCGGAAGTACCGGCAAATCTTTCAAGAAGAAGAAGACCTTCTTTACCACCTCCCTCCAACCTTTCCTAGGCCGACCCTACCCCGCCTTCTGTCCACTAAAGATATATACACTCTCGAAGTCATACTGTTTCGTTCCATTCTTTCTACATGTCTGAACCACCTCAACAACCCCTCCTCAGCCCTATGGATAATAGGTTTGGTAATCCTGCACCTCCTTCAAATTTCCAAACTATGAATTCTCTACATTATATTCACACCACACACTGCCCTCAGACATGACATCTCCACTGCCTCCAGCCTTCTCCTCGTTGCAACATTCATCACACATGCTTCACACCCATATAAGAGTGTTAGTATAACTATACTTTCATACATTTCCCTCTTTGCTTCCACGGACAAAGTTTTTTGCCAATGTTCAAGAGTAAACAAATGACCTCACACTTCTAATACACACCAGCTGGTGGGTCTAATATACGTTCACAAATGTGGTGATATTATTTATACAATTATTACAATATTGCATAACAGAAATCTTCTATTTTTTGGTTTGAATAAAAATTAATTATGTGAATAAAATATCAAAATGGAATTCATTTGTAAAGCCTCAAAATGTAACTAATGAACAGAGGAAATGTTAGTTTAGTGCCAGGAAAGCCTGCATTGTTTATTCTGGACCCTATTTTGAAATTGGAATATTGTGAACTTTGTGTTAAATTGGCCAAATTACCATTTTCCATTCACTTTATTTTGTAGTTGAAACAGTTGATGTGGCGATTTCGTGTGTTCAATCGATAGAATAGAAGTAATACTAGTGAAATAATGTAATTGGCCTAAAATGGGAGTCAAGGTTGGCAAAATCCCCGATGTGTAAATATCACTGACACATCAAAATTCGCGAGAGCATAATTTCGTCAATTTTCCATCAATTTCGTACTTTTCGTTTTATTACCTTCAGAAAAAGATTCTCTACCATTTCCTAAGAAAAAATAACAAAAATTTTTTTTGAAAGTTCTTGGGCCCTGGTGCACACTGGTGCCTCTGGACCCTGAAAGGGTTAAGAAAAAGAAGAAAAACCTAGATGCATATGTATATGCCTGTGCATATGCATATGCACAGGCATGCATATGCATGCCTGTGAAGTGTGACCTAAGTGTCAGTAGAAGTAGCAAGATATACCTGTTATCCAGCATCTTTATGAGACAGAAAAAAGACACCAGCAATCCTACCATCATGTAAAACAGTTACACGTTTCTGTTTCACAGTCACCTGGCAGGACAGCAGTACCTCCCTAGGCATTACAAAACACAATAAAAAGTAAAAAACATACACAGTACATTCATTACTTACCTTAAAATATTTGTAGTCTTAAAGTAGGGCAAGAGGTGAGTAGTACGTACTTATTTGTAGGAAGTCAGGTGTTGGTAGACAGTAGATGTAGGTATGTAGTCTGCCTGGGCTACATACCTACACCTACCTACATAGCTACACGATATTTAATGCAGCCCAGAGCCATATTATTACCATCGACATATCATGTTCACTAAGTTTAATTGTTTCTAACAACTACCTTTAGATGCCATCATAAACAAACGGAGAATAATTCATGCCGAGAATTGTAAACGAAAGTGTTATGTATTAACCCTTTCAGGGTTTCGGACGTACTAGTACGGCTTACGCACCAGTGTCCATGACATACTAGTACGCATAAATTCTAGCACCTTCAAATCTAGCGAGAGAAAGCTGGTAGGCCTACATATGAAAGAATGGGTCTGTGTGGTCAGTGTGCGCAGTATAAAAAAAATCCTGCAGCACACAGTGCGTAATGAGAAAAAAAAAAAAACTTTGACCGTGTTTTTGGATTAAAACAGAAACTTTGCACTATATTCCCGAATGGTATTTATTGTTGTATTCTAGTTTTCCTGGTCTCACTGAATAGAATGGAAGACATATTACAGAAACTGAGATGATTTTGACTGGTTTTACAATGAAAAGTACCTTGAAATTGAGCACAAAGTAGCAGAAATATTCGATTTTCACCAAAGTTCAAAAGTAAACAAATCATGCTAAGCGTCCAATACACATCAACTGGTGAGTCTAATGTTCTTTTACAAGTGCGCCAATATTATTTATACCATTTCTACACTAATGCAGTAGTCTGCATAACAGTAAATCTTATTTTTTTGTGAGAATAAAAATTCAAAGTGGAAAGCAAAAAAAATGTAAGAGGGGCCTAGGGATGTGACTAATGAACAGAAGAAAGGTTATTTTAGTGCCAGGAATGTCTTTCTTGTTTATTCTGGACCCTATTTGGAAATTGGCATCTTTTGAAATTTGTGTGAAATTGGCAAAATTGCTAAATTCTGACCACTGTATTGGATACTTGAAAACGGTAAATTGGTGGTTTCTTGTACTCATTCGATAGAAAAAATGGAGTTCTAGCGAAATAGTTATGATTTTTGTCGACTAGTACATTGGAATTGGCCGAAAATAGGGCTCAAAGTGGGCGAAATCGCCGATGCGTAAACATCGTCGAGATTGCTAACTTCGTGAGAGCATAATTCCATAAATTTTCCATCAAATTTCATACTTGTGGTGTCATTATGATCGGGAAAAGATTCTCTGATCATTTCATAAGAAAAAATAATTTTTTTTTTTTTGAAATTTGGGGGACCCTGAGAACAAGTCTCTGAGAGGGCCTGTGGACCCTGAAAGGGTTAAGGGGATGACTGGGCAAATGCAGATTTATGCACATTTTCTCTGGTGTTGGACCAGAGAAAACGTAATGTTTTCCCTCCACCCAACAACCATCCCTCCACAGCATATAAACACTGCATGTTTATATGCTATGTAACATGTTTCTTATATAATTTTGAAGAAAATATCATAGATGGATTAATGAAAATGTCTATATTAACATAAAATAAGACTTTTAATGTGTTCAAGAGTGATTATTATTATGTATTAATATTATTACTATAGCGTTAAGACTAGGGGGACACACTTAGTGATTTTAACCCATAAACGGTCTAAACGTATATATACACTCTTACCGCTAGTGCCCCAAACGTATATAAACATTTTATTTTTCCTGCCTTCAAATATGGCACAATTGGCCTGAGATGCCTTGTCAGCATAGAATGGATCATAACACTCAGTGTGCACTGTATTAAAAAAATCTGGGACCACTTAGTACCTTGTGGGAGCACCAGTTCAAATGAGTGCCAGCTAGAACAAACAGCGCAGCAAACACCTGGATTCACTGATTTCATGAAGTATTAACTCTCCTATTTTAAGAGGAAAGTGATGTTGACCCCAAGTTTAGTGGCTTTGAGGTGAATGTGACCATAAGTGGTCGAGGAAATATCAAAAAACCTTGATAATAACCCATGTGCAACACCCTTTCAGAATGTCTTATAACCTATGCCCTAATTAAAGAGAAACAATTCTGGAACATAATATTTGTTCGAGCT